CACGGTGATTTTTAAAGGTATGTGGGCGTCTGAAGTTTCCAGACTGAGTCTCGCTACAGTGAAAAAAACGGCTTCCAGTGTGGTCCCATGGACATGGCCATTAAGACAACGGGAATCCCCACATATCGAAAAGGTTCCGCGGATTTATGGGGGTAACTTCAGACTGCTGAATAAATGGACCAATTCCAGAAACCACACACCCATCAATGCAAATTCAAGTGTCGTGGTAGCCAAGTCAATCCACCGTCCCCAGCTACTCGTCAGTAAGGAACAAAACACTAGCAAGTGGTCAATGGTCCTGCATCAAACATTTTCATAATGAAAACGCAAACCAAAGGATGGAAGGCCAGAAAATATTACCTGATGTTGAGTGCACTACCGTCTGATTGTCAGACGACAAGACGGTACCTTCGAAATACACCAGACCAACCGATTTTCCTGCATCGTGAGATAGGAAGCTTGGTAGAATTCAGAATAAAAATTAATCGCGATGGAGAAGTGAGACAATGCTGATGAACGCTATTTGTCGACGTAAACCCTAATCCAATACATAGCACATAAAATACCACATCATTTCTGGCAAGCAGATGGAAAAGAACGGCGCGAATGACTGAGCCGAAAGCGGTAGTGAAATCAAGGAACAAATCTACCGTCGGTGTGCGGTAGTTTCACCTCGGCATTTGCAACGGAGTGAATAAGCGGTATAGGTAATCAAGATAATGGTCCAAAACTTGTCTGCTCTTCCCTTCTTCGGAATTTGGGTTTCACAGTTGTGGGCACACCGATACAATCCGACGCAGGCTATGCATCATAAGAAACGAGGGTCAGATGCCTAGACACCAGAGAGTATCAAATAGTAGGACACCTATGTCGCTGTTGCAGGGGAAAGTGCCTCTCACAATGGTCCTGCATACATTTTAAACGACCGGTGATCGAAAGGATTGTACGCTTGCGTTGTAAACATGAGGCCAATAAGTGGAATCCATGAAGGTGCGGCGACCTCGAGTGACTGGAGGTGGTCGCGTTGTAGCGAAGCGTAAATGTAGTGTACCGGCGTAGCGTTGCCTTTTATTAAAATTGTCCTCATACGTGACAGCGCCTAAAAGTGCAAGGTAGCACTGGACAGATTAATACTGACTGACGAATGTTTTGGGCTATGTTTTGCTCCCTCGAAATGCAAAGTCCTCCAAGACTGACACGGACCAACCCCTGCGCTGAGCCTCGGTGGCGAATAGCTAGAACTCGCACAGGAATTCAAGTACCTGGGTAGCTATATTAGCACTCGTTGAATTGAAGATGAGGTCACGAACCGCATGGCAAAAGCCAGATGTGCTTCTCCAATCCCGCCACCAGTGGCGCCGACGCGACGTCACCCTCGCCTGAAGGGAAGCGTTTACAATGCAGCCGTCCGTTCAGCTCTCCTGTACAGTTGTGAAACCTGGCCCATCAGGTCGACAGACATATGCCCAACCATCGTTGCCTTCGCAATTTAGCTAATTTCTGGTGGGAATACCGCGTGAGTAATGAATGTGTTCGGTGTCGCGTATTTGGTGCAGGAAGAGCGAGTGAACCGCTCAGCACCATTATATCACGCACCAGGCTCCGATGGTTGGGTCACGTGTTGCGCATGCCATCCCACCGACCCCCGCATCGTGTATTGTTTGTGCGCCGGGGGTGTGGATGGAAGAAGAGGAGGGGTGGCCAAGCGATGACTTGGTCCAGAGGAATGAAGGCCCTCACTTCTGAGCTGGCCTCGGCTCCCTGGTTGGGGTCCAAAGGACGATGAACACGTTTGGTTGGACACACTTGCTGATATGGCAAGGAGCCGACCTCAGTGGCGTTCGTGCTGTGAGTTTCTTTGTCCCACCCCATCCCTCTTAGCCTCCCCCTCCAACCACGATCTCATTAGTTAGCCTTATATAATCTTGCATAATATTTCTTATTTCTTTTTGGGTGCACAGCAGCCGGCTGGTAGCTTACCGGAATGATGCCCATCCGTTACCGGTAGCTCAGCCAGCTTGCACCAGTCACTTTTTTCTCTTTTTTTCTATGTATTGCGGCACAGTAGCTGAGGTGTTCCCCACCTCTAGCTAACGTGTATGATGATGATGATGAGTCAGATGCGCACAAGCACTTTGAAAAAGAATGAAGTAGATCTGTTATCGCATTATGTCACAACGTTCATCGTTCCTTGGATGCAAAACGACAGACGCGTTAGCTTCCTATACAATGTGGAGGGCGGCCGACCAGGTAAATCGCGACAGAGACCTGCCACACCGAAGTGCGGTGGATTTAGTTGACACCACTTATGTCACCAGAATAACAACGGATAAGTAAGAAAATGAGGTTGAATGCGAATAGAATACAAAGAAAATTGAATCAAGAAGGAAGTGCGCTAGACCAATCAGGACGGAATAAAAATTAACAACTAGATGCAAGAAACCGAATGCAGGAACGCCAATGAATACGCGACTGAACCATGTCTGATAGGGTCTTCAACCAATAGTGTGGTCCATCCCGGGGGACCCATTTACGAAGACGGCACATACCAGCCTGACCAAATCTACCGTTCAGTTGCTTCGTGCTTTTATACTATGTCATCTATCGGCCACCTCGACCTTTTGTTCAACTTGGTGCAGCTATGGCGTGTAATGTACACTGAGGCCAATCGACGGACATATGGAGAACATGAGTTGAGCAACGTAAGTGGTTCCGCCTCAACAGACACTTTAGCGAGGCACCCGGTTTCTAACCAACAGCCAACTGGCGGACCTTAGCATTGCTCATTCGGTGTCCCCATCAGCTGTGATCAATATTCAGCAAGAAACGACGGTTTAACTAAGACAAGAGTTAAATGTCCTCACTGCGATCTGGTGAGGTCTCTGATCCATACAGTACGATTGGTCTTATCGAAGCGTTATACACCTTACCCTTCACTGACAAGCTGATATCCCGCCGTCTCCATAGATGGTTGAGCATCTGGAAAACTACACGGGCTTGCCGCTAGGTGAAGTAACCTCTTCAGTGATATGACTACTAGAAGTGACAATGTTACCATGGTAAATGAACCGATACACCACATCCAGCGCCTGATCGCTGATGGCTAAAATCGATAGCGCATCGGTCCAGTCTTGTAACATCATGCTGCACTTTGAAGGTGTAAAGCACAAGCCGAAGCGTGCAGCGCTGCGCGTGTCAATTCAGTAGTGCTTGCATATCCACTGCCGCAGATCCAAGTAGATCTGCGTTGCCCGGCATACTCAAGGTTTGTCAGTCAGTCACCTGACAGGATTTCCACTCAGGAACCGAGTCATTTATGATCATTTCGAACAAAAAGTTGTGGAGGAAAGAAGACATGGAACAACCCTGGTGAACCCCACTTACATAGGAATTTAAGGGACAGTCTATCTTACCCGGCCTCGGGAGTCACGGTAGAGGGATTTCAGAATGGAAAGATTTCCAGGCACTCCCTTCGGATAGGCAGTGCCACAAGCTAACTTGAACAAGAGAGTCGAAGATGGCTTTCAGTCATGAGTCACTGCTTTAACACTAGACGAAGAACAAATAGGTTGTCGATGCAACCAAGACAGCTCTCAAGAGGACCAATAAGTCGCCAAAGAATGATGCCCGTAATAGGTTTGGAGGCGCTGGAAAAAAGCCAGTGCCTGGATGATTTTGGAACAAATTACGCTGACTCTACTTGGAGATGGGCACGACAGTCCTCGGTCTGAAGATAGCTTATCAGTGTCCTACATCGTGCTAAATAGAGCAGCAAGTTTAGTCAACAGAGTGACTCCCATTTGTCAGCAAAGATGGAGGAAAGTTGTCGGGTCCAGGAACTTTGTTACGTTTCAAAATCGGGAACTCACGTCGAATCTCTTCAAAAGTGGGAGATGTGATATCAAGTTCCCATGTCAGCTCAGGTGATTCGGGAAGCGGTAGTATCGCACCAGGCCTTCTCAACTGCATTTTCAAGTGCTACGCCCAACGGCCTAGTCGACGAGGCTAATAATAAATCAAGTGTCCATCGTCCACAGCTACTGTCTCACTAGCTGATGGCTTTCTCGGACCCGTGTTCCTATTGAGCTGGAACAGCAGCCGGCTGTTTTCAATAACACTGCCTTTCTCTATCTTACGGATCCCTGCCACTCAAAAACGTTCCTAGTCAATTCGAAGACACCTTGTCAATCGTCGTTACAAGGTGTTACGGACACACTGAAACGCAGCACTCATTGGAACCAGTTTCTGTACTTCGATGTCTACTGGCTTTTATTGATTGGAAGCCGTGTAAGATCAACGTCCCAGGTGAGTGAAATTGACTACGCAGCGAAGGATGGTCGAACAAGCGGTCAAACGAACTATTCTTTCGGAGTGCTTGATTCCAAATTAGTAGACAAGCCATAGAACAGAGCGCTCTTCGTCTTTCTGACAGTTGTCCACTTGACTGAGATCAATATGGCTCATTACAGCATCAAGGGAGGATGCTGGTACACTGCTCCTCATAGTGTTACTTTTTCGTACCTAACGAGCATCTGAAATAAGTCAAAACCAATTTGAAATGCAATTATGGAACAGGCCCGCCTCAGTAATTCAGTTGAAGCAATTGATGTTGCAGAGACCCACTGGCCATTCCGTCGTCTCAGCAAGTCGGTTTACCGCCACGAATACCTCTGCTTAGCGTTTTGGAGATAATGCAGTATGGTCCACGTTACCCACGTGCCTGGTTGACGACAAACTATGCTGCGCACAAGACCTCCATATCATGGGATGAGTTAAAGTGACAAACAACGAGCCTGATATTGAGTGCGCGCGTGCGTCGCGAAATGCCGGAACAGAATCATAGAGACGCTTACGACTCACGTAAATGCGGTTAACAGGAGTCCGAGGCGGTTTAGCACGGCGAGCACCGGACGATCCGGTGAGAAGAATTATAACGGAAAGCTGTGGCGGGGTGAGTAATCCGAATGCCAAAGTAATCGCGGTCAGTAGAAATCTGCTCACAAGTGCGTAAAATGGGTGCTTTTGAGTACGATTGACGATTATGCATGGGTAAGTTGAAGTCAAAAGATGAAAGTGGATTCCCATCAAAGACCTTAAATTAACAAACACAAGGGCTCGTTACAAGAATGTTCTGCAGAACGATAATGTTGAGGAGCATAATAAGGGGAACCAAACGCCGAAATGCTGGGTGTATGCCTAATGTCTCAATCACAAAGTTAGCTACAACCTAAACTGAAGAACACGACTCAGCAAATGCAAGCAAGGGAATGTTCGAAACAGTCGCCTCAGATACCACCGCTCTTGTCGTTTCCAACTTTTGTGCACGATGAAAGAGTCACTTCAGATGAGACAGCGCTCCCAAGATTTTGACGTAATTGATTTGACTTTCGGGAAATGCACATCACACCGATGCCACAAATTCTCGATAGATTTTACATTTTGACCGACAGGGAAGATTTACACTGACTGGAAGTCGCTCATTTGCGAGGAACAAACATTCTAAAATAATCCAGTGATAGAGGTCGACGTAAGAGACACCGCACCAACGAGCATTGTGGACAAGTAATAAGGGTTCCGCAGATGGAAAAAATGATACCCCACCGAGCCTTGAACCTAGTGGGCTACAGCGAGTCAGCGGACAAAAGCGTGGAGCTCATATTGACCTTATGACTTTCAATTGCTGTAAAACCAAGCGGTACATAATAACAACAAGGAGAATAGCAATATTGATGATAATACTGATGGTGATAGAGAACATGCGAGAGAAGAAAACGATTGTAAGAGGCAAAGTCACGGCACCCACAAAGCCCGAGATAACCGAAGACAACAGAAGTTATCATACATTGCGAATCAGAAGAACGGGAGTTGAGTTGGGAAGGCACCGGAGTACCACTCCGGTCGACCGAACGAAATAATGCTAACAAAATTAGGGCGACTGTGTGCAAAAGGACGACCCCAGAGACAGAAGAGCAGGAACGCGAGTGCCTACTGTCGGTTCTTGGACCAGATAGGATTCGATGCGAAAATACAATCACCAAATGGAGAAAAATCCCGCGAATGTTGTCCGAGCAGCTAAGGAAAAATGAACAGCAGGCAGAAGTGGCCGTTGACTGTGTTGGGGTGACACACGTATGCAAACCCCGGCGGAAACAGTACCGTCATCTGGGAGGATGTGATTTCGGTCCAAAACAGGTAGTTCAAGACGGATCTCAGGATTGAAGCAGTTGGTGCATCAGTGGAAGAGATTTAAATGCCTTGGAGTGTGCGATCTGTCTGCCAGGTCACTTGGAGGAATAGACTAACTGGAAGGGCCACTCGTTCCTCATAGCCATTTGAGGATTCAATTTCGGACAATTTATGGCAAGGTAACAAGGGTGGAAGAGAGATAGTGCAAATACTGTTGAACGCAGTGCACCGCAATGGTACAAACAAAGGCTCGCGCCGAAAAACGTAAATGTTACTGAGCAAAACGGAATGAAATAAAAAAGAGAAAACATAACTAAGCACAACATAAAGGAACAAGGAGAAAAGAGAAACATGTCTCAAATTAGGGTACAAGGAAAATGGTGCAACAGACGGACATGATCTGAACAACATAGTCAATTGTTTATTTACATTTTGATCGGAGTTAAGGACGGGCTCATATCTCACTAACATCAAGGATCACCTTGTTACGGACTTCGTTGGACGACACTGCTTGGCTTGTGCATGCTTTTTCCAAAACTTCGGAAGACTCCGTATGCTCAGGCTCCATGGATGGTTTCAACTGAACAAGTTGCATCTTGCTGGGTTTACGACGGCTTGAACCAATCAAGCCAAGTCGAGAGGCGGAGTTGTGTGGTTTGGACTGGTCGGAAACGCCGTTCATTAAGCTTGTAAATCCGTTAGAGCAATGCGAAGACCTGGATGATGGGCGTGAGGCATCAAGACGAGGAATCTTAGAATGAGGCTCAGAGTCCATCACCTGAGATGCAGTCGAGGTCCAATGCGTTGGGTCGGCATCCCCAGGGTCGAGATTGAATGGATTTGCTGAGTCAGAATCACAGACTTCGCTAACTCGTTTATTACCCAGGTTGGTGCGCAATCGTTGTTTCAGCTGCTCAATCCGAACGGAGGACTCGGACTCGATGTTTGAAATCGGGATCTAAGAGATTGTGAGAAGAAACAGCGAGAGAGTTGTGCTGACCAGAGATGAAGATGACGATGGGAACGAGAAGGGGTACAAGAAGTGGAAAACACACTGAAGACAATAAATACATATAACACAAGACGAGGGGAAGCAGATCCTGGTAGATGAAGGATGGGATGGCTAGTGGGAACAAATTTATGGGACCAGGTTCAGTGCGAGGCCGCCGACGACCCCAGATAGTCATCGTAATGGGAAGCTAAATCCATCTGGGAGATAGAAACAATGCTTACGCGCGAAAATCGCAAATAACTGAACAAGATCATGGGTACAGAAATGTGGCAAGCCCAGATACGGTGAGTTATGTCGTTATGGAAATAATACTTCTAAACAATTGAAAGATGTTTACTTGTTCGCCGAGCTGGTAAATTCGACGTTTTGGTACGAATCGAGGTGACATCTGAAGTGTGTAATCATAGGAGTAACTTCGAATTGTCCAACCCATTGAACAAGTTAACATCGCATAGCCCAACCCGAGCTACCAATATTTTGACTTGTCGTAAACAGCTGAGGTAAGATAAAAAGCAAAGCCCATCTGAAAACACCAAAAAAGACCAGGGATTGGAAGCAAAGAATCGAATGCAAGTGTACCGCTGGCTTCTCAGCTGCGACATGGCGACAGGAATCGCCAGCAACTTATATGGCGGACACTGAGTCCCTGGCTAAGAACGCTGCATAGGCTGGTGCGACTAAGGTCTTCGTCATGTCATCAAGTGGTCGTCTGCGAACGGCGTTGAGCACCCTGCCACCCATAACTATCGTATGCAATCCAGACTAACAAACCGCGCATTCGCGGACGGGTGCTGAGTAACTGTACTTCAGAGAGGATCGTCTTTGTCGTTTGAGCGTCAGCTCCATACATTAGTCAATGTGATGTGTAAATAACCCAGCGAACAACGAGTTACAGAGAACAAGCCAAACTGTTCTTACTGATAGAACGAAATGCTCTTCGAGAACTAAAGTCAGCACTACACAACGTACGTAGCTATTTGATATGGATTGTTGGTGAAATGAGAAACAAGAAATCGACACAATATCAGTTCAGCTAATACACTAATGCCACATCGAAATTTGTGCAATTATGAATGAAAATTGAGGCTCACTTCACTCATGGCCTTTTGGTAAATGGTTAAATCTGATCCAGCGGTGAACTCTACGTCTGGATGCGATTCTTCGTGATGGCTCATTGCTCGCTTGCTTGTGTAGAACACCTGATCACAATGGGGGCAAGGATGAGGCGGCATATCTAGGTGCGCCCGGAGTATGTGTGCTCGAACAGACCCCATGGAGCTCGAGAGTAGGGGGCATGCGGAGCAGGCGTATACTAGACTGCAGCCGTCTTCCACAACTGAGCGGTCTGGATCAGTGTTCATCCGTATGACATAAGGCTGTTCATCTAGGAACACTTTCTCCTCACTGTTCATGTCGGATGCAACAACAGGGTCCGCACCAGTATCTAACGTAGAGGATGAGGTGTCACCGTAGGCGGAGTAATCACATTTCTTGATAGGGCTAGGTGAACGGTGATTCCCAGTCGTCACAGTGGTGGTTGTAGATAGGGCTGTAAGTTTCTCCGAGTCCCGATGTTGCGTGGACGGTTGGTAGACCTGCGAAGCAAACTGTCCGGTTTGTTTGACTAGACCGACAGCGGATGCTCGCCTAGCTCCGAACTGGGACAAGTCCATTTCAGCCAAAGGTTTAATCACGGTACCTTTCCACTTCATTTTGGCCAAGTGCAAGAGTACGTGTTTTGGTAAGAGGGTATTATCTTCACGGCTAAGTCGACTGCAATGCATCGCTGCGGCTTTGTAGCGCTCAGGCACCTTGGCGTGCACGCCCAAAATGTGTTTACGGATATCGCCCATACCGTGAGGAGAGGAGGAGCTACAGCCAGAACAACAGAAGTACCGCCGACCCCGGCGTCGAGAGATGAACACCTTCAGCGAACTATAGACATCCATTTTTTCCTGCAGGACATAAAGAGAATAAGTGGGAAGTTCAGTCAAAATGGGCAGTTAGCATAATGATCTACAATTAGGTTAAAAACAATAAGGTGTCATAAGGAGCTATGAGGCGTGGAGTGAGTTGACGTAGAGGCTTTGGTAAGCGCCTCGGTTGGAGATGAGCACGGAAGCCAGTTTTTCGAAGTTTGTCGGATTATCAAGTGGTCGTCTTCAGGAAGATTCGTCGTCTGCTGCGTAGCACCGTCAAGTGCAGGCAAAGCAGAAGCCTTTACAAAATGAGAAATAATCCAGTGGATGGTTCCATAGATTTGCCATAAAGAGCCGCGAAGTAGTCAAAATGTGAAAGCATACGAGTTGAAAAGGAATCCAGATGGAGCGGGAACGAGGCATGCGCTTGTATCGGATCGGAGTCGGATCGATCGCGATCCATACCACGCGCTAGACGGAGAATATTTGGCACAGTTTCATTCAGTACGAGCGGCGAAAAAATGCGAGATGGCATTCAGTCAAACGTGGCACAACAAGCTAAAGAGAGCTTGGCCCAATTCGCCTGACTCGTCGCATGCTGTGCGTACAGCCATTTGCATACGACTGCATGCGTGCACACCAACAACAGTCGAGATGCTCAAGATACGAACGAACACCAAGAAAATTGCAAGCATTCAGATTTCATGAGGACCAACTTTAAATGGTACACAAAGACAAAGAACGTAAGTTGCTCGCTGTTCACCGGGGGCACTCGATGAGGCCTGCTAATGCAATCGACTGGAATTCGTGAAGTGAAGTCAACGCAGCAATCAAGTGAGAGAGTGATCACGAAGATGAACCAAATCGATAGGAACCGATGTGAAGTGATGTATGCACCTACCAGAACCGTTGTACTTATGAGGTGAACTTTAAATGACAAACAATCATCCTAGAGATGAACGGAGGTCAGTCTGCACTGATAAACATTCAACGAAAGAACCTACAGTTGATCACGCAACGATAAGCTCAAGAGGTGGAACTCGGGGAGCGCGGATCCACATCCATTTATGCTGACAAAAAACGGAAAGCAGACAGAAAAGCCGAGGCTAGTGTCCATAGGTGGTGCGCATCGCTTTGTGATAATTGACGGCTGCGCGTCAGATCGATTAAGTCGGGTCATCTAAGTTTAGGCACCATGCTACGAGAAATGATTGAGACCAGTGGTAAAAAGCACTTAAAGCTATACGGAATCGATAGACTGCAGGTGTGTGCGAAACGTTCAGAGAAATTAATCGAATGCGAACAGTGCTTCGAATGGAGGCGTCACAGGAATATGAGCTAAGAATGATTGGGAACTGGCGTGGAAAGCAGAGAATCCAAGGAAAAAGTCCTAGAGACGTAAATTAAAATTATCACGGGTAGGCGATAAACGCGGTATGCAACAAACACCATAGTGTGCTCACCTCTAGTATTGGAAAGTAGCTTGGTGGGCAGTATCCTTCGACCAAACAGTGCAATGCATCGGAAGAATAAGGTAAGTCTATCACCCGTTCTACTTCTTCTGATGAGGAGGCCTGTGCTAGACGAAGGTGTGACAAGGGGTTCTCGATAGCAGTGGACACTCTTTTGGCCGGATCCTTGTCTTCAGTGACTGACATTTCATCCTCGTCATTGAATTCGCGTGAAGTCCCGAGACCGTCTACTGAACTAGCCGAGTGAACGTCCGCCACATCTTCCTTATCGGACTGAGCAAGGATAGCATCACTGAGGCGGGTGGAGGAAGAGTTTTGCTTGCATGAAGAAGAGTCTCGTGATCTGAGTCGAATTGTCGAAGGCTCAGTCCGATTAGTGGCATTATTCCCAGGGGTAACTGAGCCGGTTAGCTTAATGGGTCTCTCCACGGCCAACCGAAGCAGCATGTCATCAGGATAAATCTGGAAGTCGTATTCTCGGGTAATCCGGGATGCCTGACAACATATTGTGAGAAATTCATGCTGGATACGAGCGTGAACACCCATTACGTGTCGTCTGCTATCAGCTAAGGTGGCGGCCCGAATCTTACTATCGCGTTGGCGGGTGGTGAGGAACATTCGTCCGCAGGGACACCGGAAGGCCAGCGTTCGATCGCTTCTGCAGATACGGGTCATTGTGTAGGTAGAGTAGATGTACATTTTTGATACGACATCTTCGGTTTGGGCACTAGTGGCGCCAGCTGACTCCAGTAGTTGACGAAGCACCGGCTCAGAAAAAGGCAATGCAAGATCAACAATTCGATCGGCCCCTTCGAGTCCCGGAACCGATGACAGGGCGTTAAGATCTAAGTTTTCGAGGGTAGTCGAAGCCATAAAATCAGTAGACGAATCCGGTGATTCGGAAGAGCGTGGAGGTGAAGTGGGAGAACACATGTTTCCGTTGGCTGGATTCGAGATAGACTGAGTTGCCGATCTTGTTGTAACGGAATCGGGAGGAACTGGAGGTCGGATGCGGACAGTAACCCGATTCCTCGATCCGGGCACGACAGCAGTGACATGCGAAACGAAAGTGTCGTGTGATCTTCGTTCAGATCCCGAATTAGACGGACTAGACGCAACCGAATCAGCTTCAGTGAGGCCATTTTGATTAAAAGTATCATCAGGCGACGGTGAACGACTTCCAGCTTTGATAAATGCCTCCGATCCGTGCTGGCGGTGCATGTAATCTCTGGCAAGACGGGCCAATTTTTCATCGGAGAACAGAGTAAATTCTACCGGATCCAACCGGGAGGCCTGCAAGCAGTGTCTGAAATGTTTAGTCGATATGCCACAATGAGAACCCAAAATATGCTTGCGGACATCTGCCAATGCATGTGGAGAAGAGTAGTTGCAGTGGTTGCACCTGTATCTTCTGAATCCACCTCTTGTGTCTACGATTACTGTTAAGCGACTGTAAAGTTGCATTTTTTGCTCTAGAAACTCACGCGTTGCTACCGGTAGATGTCTTGTAAGGCGTCGTAAAATAACAATGGAATATGGCAGAGGGACACGACGACGACAACCTTCTAGTAGACGCGGTTTCATTTGCCGCATAGCCAACTGTTCTTGCAGCTCTTGGAACTTCTCTTCGCTCTTCGGTAGATATGTAAACCGCAAACAATCCTTGAGGTGTTCGCGTGGTACTTCCAAGTGCACTGTGAGCAAGTGACGTTTGAAGTCTCCCAAACCGTAGGGGAATACCTTATCACATTCCGGACACACTGGAATACGTCGATGATTCTCTTTGCCAAGGATGCGGACAAAGTAGGAGCTAAATTGGTGCATTTTCGTCACAAGAGAGTCCAGTGCTTCAGAATGAACGTGCCCATAAAGCTCGCTACGGAATTTGGCTTCGTCAAAGGGGAAGGAGACCATATCATCACTAGTACGTCCTCCATCTGCCTTGGCATCGGATAAATACTTTTCTGCAAGAGCTTCATCGAGGTGATTTGCGGTTGCTTCCGAATTGCAATCTTCATTAACAGAGGAACTACCGGCCTCACTAAGTGCGTGTGGAGCGATAGCACTTGTGGTGGTTGAAACCTGGCCGGCACTAGTGGCTACTCCGGAGAATGAGGGTACAATGTTATTAAGCATGGTGGTTGAGGAAGTAGATTTGCTAACATCAAATCCCGTCAAACCTTGAAGAGCTGCAGCTGCCATGGCTGCGACTGCAGAGGCGGCTTCAGAAGCTGTTAACTTGGAGACGTCTGAGCCGCCAGTTGCGGTAAGCTCCTGCAGTGTTTTTAGTGCAGCTGCACTGTGTAGCAAAGATATCGACGGACTGTTGACAGTGGAGGTCGTTGTATTGATGGCAGAAAGATTTGGAGCCCATGAGGTCATCGACAGCGACGTGGGCTGCATGGAAGATAACAACTGGATGGATGTCGCGGGGTGGTGTGCTTGCTGGCCAGTTGGCTTTTGTGGCGATGACTGGATGGGAATGCGACCATTGTGATTCATGAATCTCGATGCCGAAGGCCGAGCTAGCGCTGCCAGGTTCATCGGAGACACAAATTCGTCGTTCTCCGGTGAAGATGGTCGGAACGAATTGATATACTGGGGCACGAGTGTGTTTTCAGAGGGAACGGGAGTGTTGGATGCTGCCCCAATCGGAACGGATGGGGAGCTCAAGACGAAATCCGTAACAGACGCATTCATCTTTAACGGTTGGGATGAAGAGTCCAGCAATTTAACGTGCAATTTTTCATATATCACAACGGCCTGAATGGGGGAGGAAGAAAGCTGTTAGAAGAACGATACTGAGCCAATGTATAGAAGCAAGTAAACGGTGAATATCTTGGACAAGTCAAAGGAACAGTGAGTATATGCTGTGCTGCAGCTTAAAGCCAACGAGTGATCCCATGAGAACACGAAATAGATGAGCACTTGAACTTCGTTCAAGGATATTAAAGACAGCCGGATGCAAACGTCAGAAGTAGCGCATAGTAGATATGGCGAAGTTGAGAGGAAGTAATAACTCTACCGCTTGTAACGTATGATCAGAACGGGATTAGACTACAAAGTGTGGCAACTGGTCATCCAAAACCTAGAAGGTACGCAAGCGATCACAAACAGAAATTTGTGGCTAAGGAAAACCAGTTGCTAGATGGTACGAAAAATATATACAGTCCAACCTGCTATGTCGACCAGCCAAAAATATCCCTAAATTTTTCCTTGAGTAATGTCCCCATGTATGAACCCGTCCATGGCAACCACCTTTTGTCGGTCCCTTGAGTGGTCGTCGTAGACAGGTTCGACTGTAGTAAGCGACGATATGTGGGCAGGCTTCGAAGTAGATTGACTTGGAAGTACGGTGCTTAGCCGAAATATGATAACTCTACTTACGTGAGAATTGAGAGCGAAGCCTAATCGATCGTCGCAGGCTGAGTACGCACTCGCAGCCAACCTTAGTACAGAGTGCTACAAATCCATTACCCAAGTTGCGCGAACGACCCCGAAATCGTGGAACAATCCCAGAAAAATCAACGAAGGCGTCCAGACATAGGATATCAGTGAATTCAGATGCGAAGCTGGGGCACGGATTGTATGCAATGCTTGCCTTGACCCTAACCCCGATGAAACGGCTCAGAGGCGGAGCGTAAAACCAAAAAACCCGCGTAGTCTGTGCGCACTTTGAGAGACGATGGGCTAGCAGAGGGCGGTGCCAGCTTTGGCGTGTTACGAACACAATCGATTGTAACTGGAGCAAATCCCTCAAGAACTAAATGCAGTGCATCACATACCAAGAGTAGAAACCAGTCAGTGATGTGTACTCGTACGTCGCGAACACACCCTTAGCGGTAAGCAGTTTTCGCACCTTGTATGTGATCTTTAAAATGCCAAACGAGTGAGGTAAATGCTAGGAAGTAATGAATTGAGTCCAAGGTGTGCTGTAGAGAATAGTGTAAGTTAAATTTCGACAGAGTTCAAAGCCTGAGATCTTAACAAATACAAGTAAAAGAACTGAAAAAAATGAGGTGGCGAGAGACACAAATACTATTTATAGGCACTTGGAATACAGTTCATGGGTGAGCGATGCCCACCAAGAGGTGCATGTGAAAGATGCTGTCAAAGTACTGATCCCGTTTAAGGTGGGTTAGGCTCCGCACTGTGGTCAAGGAAATAAGGAACCACATCAAATGCAACCAAGTGTCGCAATCCAAGTGGAAGACTAGTTGTGACCGCGGGAGCAATAGAAATAACGCAACACAAGGTATGTTGCGAATTCATAATCGCTTTTCGGCATTAAATCATCCAAAGCGGTTACTGCGCATATCGCTGAGGTGCTAAACGATTTCCGAAACCTTCAATATCTATGAAAACGACGGGATATTAATTAGTTCACAAAGAGCAGGATGCACGTTTGCAGTTTTACGACAAAGATCATAACCACGGTCAACGCGCATTGAATACACTGAGAAATGGATCGTTCAAGGCAAGGAATTATTGTTAATCCCTGGAAGAATCACGAATTGAGGAGTAGGGATATAGGCTAGTTGATGGTTGGTAGCAATAACCATGGTGCCGCAATGTATTGTTTATTGGATTTCATCGGCCTACCTAGCCATCAGCAGCACGGCGGCACGCAGTATCGACGCTTCGCTGCCGCGCAACCACCACTGTTCGCACGTGGGCTAAGGATATTGCAAGAGACGCCCTGCGCCTAAGCAGGCTCGAGCCGGCGCCGTCAGAGTACAAGACAAGCTCGTTACCCTTAGGCTATGGGCCGGCCTACATTAGTTGTATCAAATACTTCGCAACGAATATACCTAATTGGGCGAACTACCAATCATGGTAAAAGAGTGCAAAGAAACTTGTCGACTGTCAAGTGCAGGATTTTATTTTCGCATACGAGTCTCAGTGCAGATCACATCGGCGATAAAAGATTCAGGAAGACAGCCGTAACCATGAAATCAGGGCAGTTTTTGCAAGGGATTCCTTGGCCCCCATCTCCCCAATATGATGCAATGTATAAAGTTTCCGTTTGTCTTCCCATCTGTTCAATCCTCTTTTCCTTCTGCAAAGCATCAATTTGTATTACCAGCGCAAGGTGAAGCATAATAGGTGGATGCGCCACGCTTTAGTGGTCAGAAGATAGGTGGCAAACTAAAGTGAACTAAACTGCGTACAACTGACCACCAACAGACAACGACAGTTCCACGCGCCGAAGGCAGTGGATAAGAAGCAGAGTAGACCGTGTCGGGGCAAGGATAGTGAGAATAGTAAGACATTTCGGGATCCAAATTCCGAAAACCACCTAGTCAAACTATCGTCTCGTGGCGAAGTTGCAAGATGTGGTGGGTTTCCGCCCTGCCCGCGTTCCCCCAACAAAAACAAAAAATTCCCTTTGGTAATAACCCGACGTAGCGGATGCGACTTCCCACCAAATAGCCACTGCTCCTTGCCTCAGTGGATGGCCTGTGCTGAGGAGCGACCAAGGATTTCTGCAGGGTGATTTCAACGTAGTGTTCGGCGTGATGCATCGGTGTGGACAGATGTCAGCAGTCCGCATGTCATTGGTTTAGCGAATGCGAACGGTGACAGGCTGTTCTCACTGCCGGACGATCATAAACACACGGTTTGCACTGAGTGCGAGTGGTATAGCTACTTGGACGCACCCACGGAGCGGTCACCCTCACCTGCTCGACTATGTCATCGTACGTCAGCGTGAAGTGCGATTGATACGTGTAATGCAGGGAGCTGAGTGTGGCACTGATCACAAATTGGTGCAGACCAAACTGTACATATATTTTCGTATGCATTCTATGCATTGCCATCCAGCCGTGAATCGGCGTAAATTTAACATTCCCTCGCTACTGTGGAGAAACGTATTGAGCTAGAGAAGGCAATGGCTGCACGACTGTATGCTGTGGAATGCATAACCACAATGGGCGACCTGTGGCACCACATTCGCGACCAGGTGACAGCTGCTGCCGAGGAGACCATCGGGTGCGCAAACTGTAAGCGACCTGATTGGTTTGATGAGAACAATGCGACGATTGGCGTATTGGTGTCGGAGAAGAATGTGGCATTTACTGCACATGTGGCCGACCCCAGTGACTCAGGGAAGAAGTGAATGTTTGGCAAAATTCGGCGGCGACTGACCCGAGAGCTCCGTCGCATTAAAAATGCATGGTGGACGAAGAAGGCGAAGCTGTTGGAATGCTACGCCGAACGCCACCAACACAAGGAATTCTTTGACTCCTTGAAGGCTGTGTAAGGACCGAGATTGGAGCCGCTGAGGAACACTGATCGATGGTAGTTCAGGCGCTACCTGCACACAGACTGCAGACATAATGCAGATCTGGCGGAAACACTTTGACTGTCTCTTGAACAACCGTTCAGAGATCGACTGGCCTACATTGAACGGCCTCAAGCAGTACGATGTGGAGGCGAATCTGGCGGACACGCCGACACTGGATGAGACGCAGAGAACACTTGCTCAGCTGCGAAATGGAAAGTGTGTCGGTGCCGACGCGATTCCACCAGAAATATTGAAACATGGCGGACCTGCGTTAGTGACTGCGTTGCGCCACTTGGTGCAACGCGTTTGGATTGAGGAGGAGGTGCCTCCTGAACTGGAGCATGCCCTTATGCTACCACTGTACAAGTGCAAAGGAAGCAAGCAATGCACCACGAAATATCGTGGCATCAACTTGCTGAATTGTGTGGGGAAGGAGATTGCCCGAATCGTGTTCAGTCACCTCGTGAGTCAGATCGTGGAACCGAACGTAGCGGAAGAGCAATGCGGATTCCGTTCGGGTCGCAGCACCATCGATACGGTGTTTGCGGCTCGTCAGTTGCAGGAGAAGTGCAGAGAACGACACCAGCCGTTGTACTCGCTTTTTATTGATTTCACCAAAGCATTTGATACGGTGAACCGCGTGGCATTGTGGCTAGTGCCTGGTAAGTTTGGTTGTCCGCGTAAGTTAGTAAGTTTAACTGAATGTCTGCACAGTGGTATGCGGGCGAGGATGCAGCTGAGTGGAGAGACCTCAGATGACTTTGCAGTTATCTCTGGTGTGAAACAAGGCTGTGTCTTAGCTCCTGCTCTGTTTAACATTTATTTTCATGCAACAATGTGTTGTGCTTGATGCCGCTTGTGCCTACCTTGGAGCGCTGTACCGATGGTGCATTGCTGAACATCCGTCATTTCTGCGCGAGAACCCAAGTGTATGATATGACAATTCGTCTGTTGCTGTGCGCTGACCATTGTGCGTTGTTTTCACACAGCGCGGATGAGTTGCAGCACATGACTAGTGCTCTGGCTTCGACAGCGGCCAAATTCCGGATCACTATCAACACAAGCAAAACTGTCTGTCTCTTGCAGCCTTCACCGGAAGTGCAATCTACCATGGTGCCACGAATCATCATTGGTGATGAAGTGTTGGAAACCACCTCCCGCTTCTACTACCTAGGAAGTGTGCTGTCGACTGACCGGCAGCTCAACAGTGATCTTCGTATCCACGTGTCGAAGGCAGCGGCGGCATTCGGGAAGCTAGAGTACCGAGTGTGGAACAACCATCAGCTTACCGTTTGCACGAAGCGTGGACGATGTACCGGCGAGATGTGCGATATCTCGAGTGGTTCCATCAACAGTGCTTGCGACGGATTCTGCGCATCGGTCGGTGCGACAGAGTTGCGGACACGGAAGTGTTGCTCCGAAGTGGGCTGCATACTTTTGCTGAGACACCTGAGGTGGCTCGGTCATGTGAGACGTA